GTGTAAACCTCGCCAGGACCGAAGCCACTCGCGGTCACTTGCCTGTAAAGTATGCTTATTTCCCGCCCTTTCTGATTGTCGTTGAGTTACACCCCCCTTGCATTACCCAGCAAAGGCAAAGCCCGCCTATAGACCAAGTTGCTACTGCAGCCTCAACTCCAACACTTGCGAACAGCCCTGTTGCACCCTCTCTTCAGCCACGAACACCAGAGTCGTCTCCAACCAAGACTCCTGTTCTTGCGAGCAGACACAATTTTAGGTCCATTATAGATGGATTCCGAAGGCGCGCCCATCCCGTGTCAGATAACATCGATAAACTGACATTTTGATCATAGTCACCTAATGGACAAGCTCAAAAAGCTAGGTGAGAAGTCCCAGGCCGCCGAACAGCTTATGGTCAACGAAATCGTGTTACCCCAGCGCATCAAACGAAACCTGCTTGTTTAATCATATCAGACGACACTTGTCGGCTCTCGGGCTGAATCATACTTTCTGCATCAGCCCTATATTTTGTTTCAAAGGAGATACCCTCAGCAATGGCGCAGCGTCGGTTTACTAGGACGAGACCAGTATTCAATGGTCATGCAAGCAGAAATATCTTGGGGATGGTGCAAGCCAGAGCTCAATCACCATTTGCGGATACTCACTCATGAGTGAGCTTAGGATGGGCAATATTGTAAACCAAACTCAAGTCACGAATTATGTATTAATGCTACCAATCCACTTATACATGTGGATGAGATACACCAGGTCACATAAAACGTTCATAATATCTGCAGTATATAACTTAACAATGTTTTGTCGTAAGATAACATATCCCTTGAAATTATGTAAATTACCTGAATTTCGTACCCTGTAGTTTCAGAAATGACACTCCGAGTAAGCTCCATTTTAGTACACGTATATCTATCGCTCCGTGTTCGAAACTTTGCAGTTCGGTCGTCTAATTTTCTACTCCATCCGTAGCCATCTTGTCTTTACCCAAATTCTTGCTCACCTCGAGAACAAAGGCCTCCTCGATAGCACCCATCCTCTTAAAGACACGCAGCCATCGTTGTCCCCATCGCCGGATCATGGCTTCGCGATCGCTTGATCCGTCACCTCCCTCCATCAGCTCATCCTTGCTTCCACCAGCCCAGCTAATGAGAGCATCATTCATGGCGCGGAAAAGATCCTGAGTCGATTTTATCTCCTTAATGCGCGTCTCCTCATCGGTTTCGGGTGCAGCGACAACATCACGGCTGCGACGCGTGACTTTGAAAATCGTGTTAAAGACTAGCTCAAAGATGTGAGGTTCGGTGAGACTATCACCACCATCAGTGCCGTTGGCTGGCGTGCTAGCCACAAGAGCCCAGTCTACCACGGTAAAAGGGGTCAAGATGGAGTAGTTGACAAGTTTTTCGATGATTGAGAGAGCAGCACCAGGGTGTGCGTGCCAGTAACTCATGACGGCAGAGATAATTTGGGCGCGCGCCGCATCGGAGGAATTACCAGCTTCAAGTAATCGACCCTTGGTTCGCTCGATACAGGCAAGGACGTGGCTTAACGACTTGGAACCAACCCAGCAGACGGCGGTCATAAAGACATCTGTGCTGGCAACAATAGGGTCCAATGATTGCTCTGAAGCTTGTGTTCGAATGCTGTCGAAAAGAGGCTGAAACTCCTCATCTGGTGCTTTCCGTCTCAGGAGACTGGCGATTTCCTGGCCCTCCTTGGAGAACGGTGTTTCTGAAGCATGTCAGTAAGCTGCACTGGGCAATAGAACTCGATACATACCAGGATTCTGAAACTTGAAGTCGGGAACATCTTTCTCTTTCTCAGGGCCTACCAAGGGTAGATAGGGTTCAGGGAGGGTCTTCTGAATTCTCTGGGCAAAACTCAGTCTCACCTCCTTGTCGAGGGCACCCTTCAAGAACCACTTGCTGGGATGGGCATTTGGCAGTTGCGCATCATCGACCCATTCTGCCCACTTCCAGGTGAAGCCAAAATTACTGAGATGGTGGGAAAACCAATCCATGAACCGATAGCTCAGCTCCAGATCCATTTGAGGGCTGTTCCGGTAGAGATATCTTATAGCCCTACCAAGACTAGGGGCAATAGCGGCTGGTGCCAACTTGCAGGCCTCAGTGAGGACTGAATGGTAGTACACCAGCTTTCGCTCGGGCGTGGGCAGTTGGAACAGCTGCGAGAACACTGTATCGACAGCAACATCCTCTGGCTTCCATGTGTTTTTACCATCGGGAAAGTTCTTCAATTCATCAAAAGGAGTGGCACGCTTAACAAAAGTGCCGTCGGCGAAATAGCAATCCAGGTCCATCAAGTAGCGAGCCGTCACATTACGGTTGAAGTCCAAGATGTTGATCGTGTCAAGAAGGCCATCGCGAATAAGGGATGCAGCGATGTCGGTCACAGCTGGGACAGAAGGGATATCCTGTTGAGAGTAGACTGAAAAGTATATCTCTGGAAACAGAGGTCGGGGCCCGGCAATAACTGTTGCGGGAATGGCGATAGCGGGAAGCGCGTGTTTAGGCGCATTCGAGAGTTTGTCTTGAGCCTCGATATCCTCCAGTGGCATCTCCCAAGGTCGTGGCAAGCATGATAGTTCCCAGTTCTTGGCTGCTTCAGACTGGAGCTGCTGTTGGAGCAGCATACAAACACTAAGGGACGTGCCAGGACTCTCTTCTTTGCCCTCAGGGTGATAGGGATCAACAAGTACCTGGAGGGCATGAGGTTCGGAAGCAATAATGTCTGTCTTCTCCATCAACTCCGCAGCCTTTTGCTGAAATTGACCAGGGGCGGACACCATGATGTAAGGGATGGTAAGGAGAATTATCTTGACAATTTCGGTACCAATAGTCTGTCATAAGTCAGTAAACAGATTCAGATTGCCACATCGTTGAACTCACGTCGTCCGAACTGGCTGTTTGGAGGTCCGCAGCTCGACTGAATAGCTCCTCTAGGATGGGAAAGAGGCCATCCCCTTCCATCAAAGACTGCAGACAAGCCAGAAACTTAAGAAGCAACTTTACATCACGCCATTCGCCCTGAGCGATCTTGTCTGCTGTCATTTGCCCAATGCGAGCGAGGATCTCGTCAACGAACTCAGGCTTCAGGGTATTGATGATGTGAACAACGGCGGCAACGAAGGGCGTCTTGAGAGGCTGCTCGAGCAGAAGTTGCGTCACCAAGTCGAGAAATGTCTTGCGAAGATTTTCGTCGTCATGATTTTCGGCCACCATATGTGCAATGGATTGAACTTCTTCAGCCCATCTGCGCAAAGGAGAGTCTGCGATGCTCAGAAGCTGCCGTCGGACGCGCACAGGAAGAGGTGCCGAGTCAACCCGTCTTCTCTGATTTCGGCGATCGTAATGGTCGTCATCATCTACATAACAAAATATTAGCAGGTAAATTGAAGGGAACGCGACAGCTTCGCGTAGCTTGCATCGAGCTGAGCTCAGTGCAACACACCTCGATATCTTCGCTTGCGGTAGCCGCCTGGTCGTCGATCGTAGTCGGCCATGATGCGCTTCTCGTATTTGAAAACGTAGCTGCTTGTCGAATCTCAATGGTGGCTCGTAGTGATGATAAGTAAAGTTTGTGAGATCAAATGCGAGGCTGCGTCACTGCTAAAAGTTTGGGGGACATCCACTAGGGACGGAATTAAGTAGAGTGATATTGGTAGCTGCCCTGAGGTGCATGAACTAGCGTGGGATTGGAGCATTGTCGTACGAAGCGAAAAGTACCGCGAGGCTAACACGCTAACACCTGAGCTTAGTGTGAATGCCTGAGGCAGATATATGTAACCACTGACATAAGTCTGCTTGTGTTCCCAACACAGCTATGATTCAGAATCATCAAATAAACGGTTCATATGAGACCCTTCCTTTGGCGGTATTGCGAGGCTACAAAGCATGCGGCCAATTTACAGGCAGCCACTTGATTTCGAGCTTGACATAATATAATAGACTCGATACTCAAATTTTAATTTCTAGACATTGGCGATCACTCAAGTAAAATGATCCTCGAAGAGTACCAAGTAGAAACCAAAAAACATGGATTTTATCAACTTGCGCAATTGAACTCTATACATAAAAGCTGTATGCTTTCCAGAGACGTCAATTCAGAGCTCCCCACGTGCTTCAATGCGTCACGTCATTCATTCTTCTGCCTTTTATTTGTGATTCATAAGCAGTCCCTTATTCTTTATATCGTCTTGGACCATTGACGACTAGACCAAATAATGCCAAACTCCTCCACGTCGGCGGGAAAGCGAGAGTAAAATGCCACAGGGCCGTCCATGGCCAGCTTCAATTGATAAATTCGTTGCAGCGTTGAGGACAATATTGGTTGCCAGGTTATGTTCACCGCAGGCCATACCAGACCAAACCTTTTCAACCACTCAGGCATCCCCAACCAATCCCAGGATCGGAACCCTCTGGGCAACCATGGCAAAGGCATAACGCGGTACCAAAAGAAGAATTCAACAAATGTCATCATCGCCATTCGCAAAGCCAACCATAGCCGAATAATTGGGTTCCTCCCTTGAGACGCATACAATAAAAAAAGAGCACCGATCATCCTCATGCATCGAAACGTGGTCTAAAAACGTAATTCCCTGTGATATGCATCAATGGGGTTATCCCTCGTCGTGACTAGCCTTAAGGCAAAACTGAGAGCGGGTTCATATAAAGGGCACGCACAACGCCCAATCCCCTCCCTGCCGGGAAAGACTCCAACGCTCACCAGAACACACATGCCTTCTCATCTGGCCCTCGACGCCTATACACCGTGCCTTGTATCAAAGACCGACGCTATTAGCTTCAGGACCATGTAGCGCCTGCCCGCCATCTGACCCGGCCTTAGCCTGGGCCATCGCTCCCAACCACTTTTACTCAGCTCGGTACTGGGAGTGGACGAGGCAGGACTCTTCCACAGCCGCGGAGAGCCTGAGAAGGGTGTAAGCAAATGCAAACTACCCTTCGCCTCGACGCGAGGCCGGCTCAATCGAGTTTCGCCATCATCTCCTGCTCCGTCAAGGGTGTGAAGTGGTCGATATCAAGGCCTTGAGATGCTAGCACGGGTCGGATGTGTGCTGGAACAAGCTTTTGGTTCAGGCTGGGGGCGATTGAGAGTTCTGGATCATTGTTAGCTATCTTGCTGATGAAGGTGTCTGTGGAATCTCATCATACCATGACGGGTGAAATCGAAAAGTGCAGGGAGTTCACGAAGCTGGCCAGTGCCGTGTCGCGAATCAGGAAGCTTTGTATTGGGGTCCCGAAGTTCGTCAAAGAAAGGGTGAACCATAGCATCGATGGCTGACTGTCGCTCGGTTGGGGTGTACTCAAGGAGGCGGGCGATGAGGTCAATAGCATTGGCATCCGCCTTTCGGAAGACCTTGTTAAATGGATGAGGCTTGATCTGGGGGAACTTGTGCTCCATGTAGTTGGGGTTCATGGTTCGAATTTGTTCTCGAGTAGGAGTGCCCAGGACCTTGATTATTTCGACGAGCTGATCAATGCCGGACTCGCCAGGGAAGAGAGGTTGACCAAGCATCAATTCAGCCATCACACAGCCAGTAGACCACACATCTAGGCCGGTTAGCAAAGAGGTATAATTAGTATTCGTACAGAAATCTTACCGATCTTTGTGGTATAATTTGTCGCACCAAAGATAAGTTCAGGTGCACGGTAGTACCGGGAGCAGATGTACGAAACGTTGGGCTCATTAGGGACCAAAATTTTCGCACTTCCGAAATCGCAAAGCTTAAGGATGCCGCTGTTGGGATCCAGGAGAAGGTTCTGAGGTTTGATGTCTCGGTGACAGATGCCCTGGGAGTGAATGTATGCCAAGGCTCTGAATAACTGGTAGATGTACAACTTGACCTCCAGGATGGGCATAGTAGTTTTCATCTTGTTGAAAAATCGAGAGGCTCGGTAGACGGTCTCGGGCACGAACTCTTGGACGAGGTTCAAGTAAACCTCATCTTTCTATGAGGGAATTAGCGGATTGGGCGACGTAACTGGATGAGCAAGATCCCATACACGTTCACCATTGGAATAATAGAAAGCCTTCAACTGAACAATGTTGGGGTGGCGGACAATGCGCATGATCTGGAGCTCACGGTTCTGGATTGGAGGACACAATTAGTAAATGGCCCGGACAAGTTGGGTTGGTGCCTAGTACCTTGAATCGCTTGTCCTGAAGAACTCGTTTAATAGCAGCATCCTCTCCGGAAGGGGACAGCTTGGTCTGGAAAACAACACCGAAGGAGCCATTTCCAACAATCTTGCATTGCGTGTATTGCAGATCCCGAGTTTCTCCAGTCACTCCATCTTGGACCTTCTCGCGGATCACCTCTGCAATTGTGTCAGTTGAGCGGTCATCTATCAAAACAGGCACAGATTCAGGCCCAATGGCAGGGGTTGGTATACTAACCTCCCATCCGGAGGCTGTTGAAGGCGTTTGGCCGATGAGCCGACATTGTTTGGATGCGTATATCCTATTCGAAGCAAAAATGCAGGCAAAGTGGGCAAAGTCGCCGGGGCGGTTCAATGCAAGAGGGATGCTTTGTGTAGTGGGAGCCGTGATGGGCAAAAAGAGCGGGCCAATGTTGGTGACTTGATTGAAAGAAGCTGAATCGCAAGCAGAAGCTTGGCCGATGATGATTTCTTAACAAAGGTCTGTATTTGCGCGAGACGAGTACAGAACACTTGGATGACGATGGACGAGTAATGTCTCGGTCGAACAGGGTATCGGCACGGGCGCAGAGGGGCGACTCGTGAGGTTAATTCTGCACTCAAAGTTTGGCAGCCGGTGGATTTATGGCTGGTAAAACGTCTGCCGGCTGTCGGAATAGACTATTGACCGTATGTGAGCTGGAGACGGTGACAGGGACGATGCGCAAAGAATTGGCAAGGCCAAGGGTATCTGGGGAAACAAAGAGAAAACCGAGGGGGAGAATCGGTGGTGTTTTTGGTGGCACGGGACAGGCTGGAGGGGGGGGCGGGGCAGAGGGGAAGGGAGGGGAGGAAAGGGAACGGTGGGCGCGAGAAAGTGGGCAAGAGACGGGGTATAAAAAGCTGTTGGTAACGAGGGAAAAAGGACGCCGGGGGACAGGGCCTAAACATAGATCGAGTACTAATGGAGAGGTAGAGCCTAAGGTGGCGACGCAGGTGAGGGACGGACAGGCCGTGTTGGGTCGGGTCTCTCTTTTCCAGTCCCAAAGACAACTTTTCGCTGACTGAGCGCGTGGGTACAAGCCCGAATTGATAAGTTTTGAAGCAAGGCAGAGTGGGAAGAAGAGCGAAGAGGTTGAGATGAGGAATATGCGTGCATGCGTGCGGCAGGATGCGCTATGCTACCTACGCATGCATTCAGTGGCATGGATTTGTTTGGGTAGGTTTTGGATCGATTTTTTTTTCCCTCTTCTCTGTTGTCACCTGTTTCTGCACAGGCTGCTGAGGCTTATGCAAGGGTCAAGTGGTGAAGGAGCTTCTGCAGTCACATTGACCTTGATTGAATGAAGCCCAAACGTCACGCTTCCAAGCTTGAAAGTCAAGCACTTTGCTTTGGCGACCTTGAAAAAGCGCTGAGCACGAAGTGATGGATAGCCAGGCGTGTACTTGGTGCTAGGGGAGTGCGGGCATGGAGGCTGGCGCAAGGCGGGTCGGGGCGGGGTGCTGGTTAGATGGAACACACTCTTGACAGCCCGTTGACAGAATGCAGCCAGAGGTCAAGGACAATACGACGAAAAGCTGTTGCAAGCCAAATGTTGAGGGAGTATAAGACAGCAAAAGGAAAGTGAATAGGTGCATGAGGAATAGAAGTGCCAGTGCTGTAGTTCACGTGAAAGATATGTACTTACTGTGGTCCGTAATGCAATCGACACGGGCAGTGATGACGATGATGCACAGTTGGAATCGTGGAGTTGGTGACCTCGAGATCTAGTTACGGCTGCTAGCACTGACCGATCGTGAGATGCGTCAGATTTTCGACTAATAAGGAACAAAGTGACAAGGGCCTCTGATGTTTGTTGGAGAAGGGAAAGACGTAATCAGATTGACTTGACACGAGGCAGGGTGGTTGCTTGTGTTCATGTGAGTGCAATCGGGTGCGGTGCAGTACTGTGCTTTTGGCGGCGTATGTGGTGGTGCAGCGGCTAGGTACTGTGGCAGGGCCAGGCAAGAAGCAAGTCAACTTGAAATGCGGCGAACTATAGTATGAGACAGTGCAGACCCGACGAGGCTCTTGTTTCTGGATTGTCGAGTTTGACGAGGATTTGCAGAAAGCGTCGACGAACGGATGAGTGCACTACAGCAACAGAAGGCAGCGGCGGGAGCGAAGGATTAGATTGAGAAGCGGCTCGAGCGGACAGACGTAGCGCGGATGCGGCTTGTGATGTGGCCCAGAACGGAAATTGTCAAGCCAGTATGAAGTCTGAAAGCCCCCAAAGTATGCCAAGGGCGATAATTGAGAATAAAGGAATATGATGGCAGAGGAGGAATGCTTGACGTCCAGTGAAATGAGCTGAGCTGGGCTGGACTGAACTGAGCTTTGCTGCGATGGTGCTGAGCTCTGCTGGGCTGAGGAGCTGTTCTGAATGGGGCTTGGGCGCGAGGACCTAGTCTAATGTTGCGGAACCTGACTGGGAGAGCTTGGGTGGACCCGACCTAGGCGAACGACGGGTAGGAACCTAAGATGACACTCAAAAATCAGTGTCTCGGATGGTACTCTTTGACTTAGGCACCTGTACATACTGCTGCAGCTTGAGGTGGTTGTTGAAGAAGTAACTCCGGGGACTTGCGGGGCGTTTTCTGCTTAATCGATACAGAGTGACGGCATGGGCATGGGTAAGGATAGAAGCAAAGGTCAACAAAAACCTCTAGAGTTTAAGATTTAGGTCTGTCGTTAGCCTAAGATGGTTGTTTGTGTTGAGCAAGACGTGTAATGAAGTGGTTTGGGAAAGAGGGGGCACTGTTGGTGTGTGAGGGGTCAAGCAACAAAGCTGGAGCAGAGAGCGACAGCAATATACATAGGTTCTGTCATTCGTCTCATTACCAGGCAGACATGGATGTCTCTTGATACACTGCAGTTTCCAGACACGAGAAGCGAAAGATGCAAGCTATTCGGGACATGGGGCCTTGAGTCGTGAGGAATACGGATGTTGTGTGGGATTGCATGTAGGTACCTTAGGTTGGGAGCGAAATGGGAGGATAAGGTAAGTAGGGAGTATCACCATTTGGTATCCGTAACTGCAGGTTCGTTGAATTAGTACCTACCAGGCTTTCAACATGGGAAGCTTAGTACCTAGGTATAGCATTGATTTTTGGGGAAAGTAGTCACCAGCGAATGGCTCCAGCAGCACAAAGGATTGGGCAAGTACAGTTGTGCTGAATTAAGATAGCCATCTTGGATTACAAATTTGATGCTATTTGGGAATCAATACCACCTGCTAGGTGTCGAGCTGGGTTCAATTGGCACGAAGAAAAACATGAATGTCTTGTGAGCAACTTGACGCCCATTCAAGGAAGACCCGCAGTGTTGGGCTTGCTCATGTGCCCATCTTGAGACTGGTCTGGAGGCATAATTGGGAGGAAGGCCAGGTACCCAGGCGCTAAAGTCCGGCAGGCGAGAGTCTCCCTTGTCTTGCATCAATGAACCTGGCTCTAGCCCACTGAGCACCAGACTTGCAGAGTTGGGTAAGCTCGATGAGGTGCCGCAGGGTAAGGTACCTGCACAGTAGTCTGTACCAATCAGACAGGGACTCAGTGGATGGTGCTGATGTAGGTATGCTTGAATAGTAGGTACCTACCTCAAGTGCACAAGCAGAGCACCTTAACGTTGGCGCCATGATCTTCAGTAAATGTCGTTGTATTTTTATTATATATTTTTCGCTCCTTTCTATCCTGACAACCAAATGCAGCCGATTCTCTATATATCTGCAATTTACCTACCTACTTTGACCATAGAGTACGGAACAGGTTCAGATTGTACTGAACAAAATGATCCGGGTTTCTTTTCGTGCCAAAGGGGATATGTGCATTCCTCATGAAGGACAACACAAGCTCATATCATTTTTTGAGAATATTACGAATCATATTGTTCTATTGTTAGCCATCATGTAAGATCCAGTATACCTCAAGAAATTGAGGAAGAAGAAAAGTCCCAACCTGAATACAGCGGCCAGGAATTCAACGATAATAAACAGATACAAGTAGTAGGAATAGTAGCATGTACTGCACCGTCTGCACAACTACGGATAGGTTTGTAGGTAGGTTGGGAGGTCCCCTGGTGGGCTCGGCAATGTAATAAAGCATTGATCATTAACTGGCACCTGATGTCCTGAAGATACCTACAAGGGGTGCTGTCTTCAACACACGAGGCAATGATTGATATAATACTACAGTCTAACAATAGGTTTAGAAATACTCGCGGAACCCCGTGTGAATTTGAAAAGTCAAACTCGGATTGACTAGAACCGATCGCCCAGGGAGTATTTTAGGCCACATGATTTCTAAAGTGGTCTGGCCCAACTGAAGTTCAATTCGCCAACAACCAGCAGATGTCATGTCACCTCAACTCACTCTACGTACAGCAAATTGCCTCTTCCATCCCGCCTCATCTCAAACCTCCTCGACTCGAGATCTTTTATCCGCGCACGACGAAGCCAACAAGACAAGCTAGCAATTGTTTTGAGATATCCACTCGCCAAAGCTTGTCTGTTTATTGAGCCAGAGTGCAAGTACAACTAACTACATTCCCATATTCCGTACCTGGCAACAATTGTCCAGGGATTATCGTCGCTAGATCTTTAGATGCCCCAATGTTACCAGTCTTCAATCTATCGATCAAAAAGCAACGTTAGCGACTAGGGGGTTGTCGGACAGAGTAGAGAGACAGCTAACAGCCCCCGCAACTCCCCTAGCATTGGGCCGAATCCACCGGGTTTTCTTTCACGGTTGGTTCCCACCTCATGTAGAGAGAGTCGAGATGACGATGGACGCTTTCTTACACTGAGCACATGCTCCTGCGGGGCCGTGGCACGGTGAGGCTGGGTGGATCCCTGACGTCTGAAACTTTGGAACCTCGATAGATATCCAATGAAGCAGTGGTTAAAGGTTACTGTTGTTGTGCCCTAACGGTTCGTCCACAGGAGCCACCATAATCCTGATGGATATTGGCTTTTCGAAAGAGCTGAGGCCTGACTTGGATAGTTTGGGGATAGTACCCTCGAATAGATGCACAGCATGGACATCAGCTTGCCTTCGGATCTGTTCATCCCAGTGCAACCGCAACAGACAATTCCCGTTTCTCATGAGCTATGAAGTCGTCGGCGCCAGTGGTTGGATGGTAGGATGGCTGGGCGGCGATTGGTGGTGTCGAGGCTTGATTAAATGGTGGTCAATGTGGATACAGGGTTACTTAAGTGTCAACGCCAACGGTGATCTGCTTCAGGCCAATCATTGGGCCAGACGTCATGCT